GTGGAGCGCGATGGCCGCCGATAAGCCGCCATATTGTTTCAGCGCTACGTCCCCTGCGTCCCCCGCGGCCGCTGAATCACGCTGCGGAAACGTGAGCCGCGCCGCGTTCGCTATGACCGAGTACTGACTCAAGGAGGTTCGGACGTGTCCGACGTGCTCCTTTGCCTTCTTACGATTTCGAGTACTTCAAGTACATATTGTGATTGTAAAGGCGCGCCGGTCACTCTGGGAAACGGTGCCACTGCACGCAACTCCACCCCGTGGGCGCGCAATGTTAAAGCGCGGCTACCCGCGTGGTACAGACCTGCCATGTCTCGAGAGACACTAGTACACATTTCTTTCTCTGAAACTTGAGTATGCGAGTGGGAAGTAATTTTGTGATCTAGATCCGTTTACAATTGTTTGTTAGTCACAAGGAAGTCAGTACAAAATCATCATACAAAAATAAAATGATATATGATGATCAATGACAGATTGTAATTTCAAAAAGAATCTACTCTATCCAAAATTATGAGATGGTTAATATTTTCCTAGTTATCTAAAGGAAGAAACTGATTTCCTCATGAGTAGCGACATCGAGCGATTTTAGTACTTTTTTTATGTCACTGATCGAGACGAAAAACAAACTTGTAATATAAAGCGAAATGTACCACAAGTAGGCTTAGGAAGACACTCCGAGAGACTAACAAGAAAAGACTGAAATTCTCAAATTTGTTATGATTTTTACTTCTAACTATGAGAAATAACTATTACCGGGAGTATTTTTACCACATATGAGACCACTAATCTCAAAAGATAGATAGGTCACTGCTTGAGAATAACATCTCTTGCTTCGGTCTGTTTTAATAGCTCCTATTAACATTACTGTAAGTTAAGTGTTTATTATTAGATCGTATCCTTACCACCGCTACCAGCTGCAGACGTCAGCATGTCCAGGACATTAAAGAAGTTAGTGACAGCGACTAAATCAGCGCCGCTGACAACATACAATAACCAGACCCCAAAGCTGCAGTATAGGCGCGGCGCAGTATTACGATTATTCAAATTATTATTTTTTTAGCTTTAGCCCACGACTCCGTCTCCATGGAATTTTAAAAAATATTGAATAGCTTATGTATTCTTCCGGACTACCCTCTAAATCTAACTTCAAAATTTTAACAAAATCCGTCAAACCGTTTAGGCTACAAACTTTAACAAACATCCATCTGAACTTTCGCATTTATAATGTTAGTATGATTAATATGATTTGTATACTAACTAAATGTTGTCTAAATGTAACTCAACTACAATTTGCAAGTAATGAAAAGCAGACTCGAAGCTAAAATCAATTTGTGCCGCACAGAGTTATGTTTGCCGTCAGTAAGACAGATTAAGGTCTGCTCCACTCCGGTGCTTATCAACTGATCATTTCATCATTAAATGCAAGGAATGATTGTTAACAATAATTGTTGATTTTAACTTTGTGAAGTATCTTTATAAACATATATTTTTTTAATTCTATCCTAATTAGGTATATTTTTGTGATGGTTATTGCTGTTACTGGCAATATATGTTTGTCAGGGTGTAATCTTGCAAGTTAATTTTAAGATATCTTAAACTGATTGAGCTAATAATTACTATGTGTAATATAAACTATGATAATGTAAAATAATATTAATAAATGTAAAAAAAGGAAAACTAAAAAACAGACAGTAACATTGCATGGTTATAAGAAAATGACGATGTCATATCTAGATTATCGATATCAAGTGTACGTGATCTGAACGTATGAGCCGGTTGAGATTTATGCAATTAAGTACATGACAATTACATCCCGCAGCGGCTTGGCAGCGGCAAGTGATTGCTTGTGCGATGAAGTGCCGCAGCCGCAAGCAGGGCCGCAGGGCCGCAGGGCAGCAGGGCCGCATGGCGGTGCTGCGGCCGCGGTGCGTACTCGCGTCAGGATGTAAGGGAATAATGTAGCAGAAAAACAAAACATCTGTAAAATTTGATTTATTATATGTCTCCTTTTGCTTATGTCATAAAATATTTACACAGACGTGTAGCCTCGGCCGCTACGGCTCTATAAACTCTATATCATAATAATATGCAAAAAATATTCTCTATTCTTATTTCTTAATTAGATACATTGTGTCTTGCCGCGACACCAGACTCAATTCGGCTTTAAACAGAGAGGAATCAGATCTATGACCAGCGCTGTCCCCCGCGCCCCTCGCCCCCACCCCCGCCAACGTACTCACATTTGTAATATTCCATAACAATCAATACACAAATTCAAATTTTATATAAGTTATACGTACTCTCGGTTTGGTTCGCAGCGGTACAAAACAATTACAGAAACATTGTCCCACGCAGCTCGCATTCAGCTTCAACTTTTTAGTATTGGAAATATTAAATAACCTTTTTTTAAGAATTAATAAAGCTTATAATGAGTTATTGAGGCGGCGGGGTAAGGCGGGGAGGGCGGGGACTCCAGGCTACGCTCTTCTCGAACTAACACTCATAAATTCGTGGAATGTTTTCGAAGTCATGGAGTTTTCTAGCGTTTAATTACTTACTAAATAATATCAATAAAAATTATTATCAACGAACAGCCTTCTCGCTATTAATATTATTATTAACATATCTTAAATGTATGCGCCGAGCCGAGCACGAGATAGGAATGTGTGGCGACGTGCGCCCGCGCCAGCTGCTGGGCAACTGACCTCTGCAGAC